GAGCCTGGCCGGGGCCGTCCCCGGGCCTCCGCCGAGAGGTCCCCTCGGGGCGCGCGGCCGCGGCGCTGGCGTTGGAGGTGTGCGGCTGTCACGTCGGCCTGGCCCGAGCCGCAGGGAAACACGCGCCGGGACGGAGGGAGAGACGTGGACTCGGAGGAGTCGAGCGAGCGAGGCTCGGGCCGCCGGAGGAAGCCCCGCCCTGCGCCTCGCGGCGGACTCCGCGGCCGCGGCGCTGACTCAGGCCGGGCCTCGGCCGGCCCCGAACTTTGAGCACCGAGGGAGCAGCACCCGGAGATCAGCACCCAGGGAGAGCCGCCCCCCTCCCCTCCCTCCCTCCCTCCCTCCCTCCCCAACGCCTCAGGAACCGGCTGCGAGCCAGGGAAGGGCAGGGAACTGCCAGATTGAAAGTTCCAGTTGGAGCTACCAAGAAGACGGGGTTCAAGAGTTCTTCTTCGTCCCCCGAGTTGTTGGGTGGCAATGCTGACTTTTCGTTTGATGCCCTTCTGTCTGTCCACGAGGGCGGGCACAGTTGTAAAATGGAATACGAACGAAGGGATTACATGATTTCTCCACTGTAAGAAATGAGGTGCCAGATCAGATACCTTCCTGGGGAAGGGGGGGGGATATCGAGACCCTAAATGAATTGAAATTCCCCCAAAATGGAATCCCCAGGGCCCTAAATAATGCCTTAAAATTTTAATACATGTTCCGGATGTGACATAGGCAAGTACAAAATGTTAACAAACACTAACAGTATTACTTCCTGTATTTATTTTACCTTTACAAAGAAATTTACACTAGCTTTGTAAAGAATGCATATGATTTGAAATATATTAAAAAAAGAAGAGCCCTTCCTCCTCCTAGTTCAGCTACCTCATCCATCTCCCATCCAAAAGAAAAATTATGTGATGTAGGGTTGTGTTGGTGCTTCAGGACCTTGTGGCTGCCCAGATGTGCAGCCCCATGTGTAGCTTGGTTGGCAGTGATAAGGTTTGAGTGTGGACCGCCCCTGCAGGCTCCTTCCCTGGGACTTGGTTTGCTAGCTGAGGGACTCCGGGACAATAATTGGATCCTAGGGTCCTGGCCTAGTCAGCAGGTCACTAATGCTTTCACAGCTTCATTGCCGTGGAAAGCAGGAGGCAGGCCCGACTGAAGGAAGTGTGTCACTGGAAGTGTGTCCTTAGGGACTCCCTTGCAAAGGTCTCTTCCTGTCACTGCTCTCTCTGCTTGCTGTTTGCCAGGAGAGGAGCTGCTTTATTCCACCACGTGCTCCCTGCTGTGATGTCCAGCCTCACCTCGAACCCACAGCAATGGAACAAAGTGACCGTGAACTAAACCTCTAAAACTGTGAGCCAAATACATTTGTACTCATTTTAAATGGTCAGATAATTGCCAGAGTGACAGAAGAACTCACGTGGGATCAAGGTTCTGGGTAAATTTTTCAGCCCCCATAAACATTTTCAATGTTAATTCAAAGAGCTTTATATTACCCAACAACCATTTTTGTTAATGACTTAATAGTATATTAAGCCACACACTCCCATCCTCTCCAGTCTCACCATGCTATCCAGACTGATGTCCTAACTCCCTGGCTCTAGCCTCTGCCTCTGGGGACACAAAACTGACTATAGATTTGTACTACTGCACTCAGCCTCAGTCCTTTTTAGTGGACATTCTTGCTCTTTGGTTAGGCACTTCTTCCCAAATAAGTGTGCAATGAACTATTTATAAACAATACTGAAGTGTAGAAATGTCTCTCTGCTCCTCCCGTACCCCATCCCCTCATTTCACTCCCTAGAAAGAGTCCTTGTCAATAATTTGATACATAACAAACTTTCCTATTTCTGTACTGTGTTAAAGTGATCCAGATGTGGAGGCGGGCTGAGGGACTTTTTGATCTGTTTGCAAGTTCAAGAATACAAGACAATGGCTGAAGAAATGGCTCAGTGGTTAAAAGCATGGTTGCTCTTGCAGAGGACCCTTGTTTAGTTCCCAGGATCCGCATGGAGGCTAACAATCAGCAACTCGAGTTCCACAGGATCTGACACCCTCTTCTGACCTCTGTGGGCATGCATGTGCTGCACAGACATGTGCAGACAAAACATTCATAGACATAAAAATAAAATCTCAAAAAAAAAAAAGAAGAAAGAATAACAAGAGTCGCTTCCTTAGTGTTACCATCTCTGAGCTCTTGAGCATTAGAGGCCTACAAGACCCCGAGGCATATCGCTCCAGTCCTTGAGAACAAGAGGCCTGTGGCTTTAGGCTCTAAAAGCCAGAAGCTTCTATGACACAGGTAAGTACTCAGGTCAAGGCAAGCTGCAGCTTTCAAAGCCAGAGGCTGCTTGCTCCAACACTGCACAGCCAGGGACTTGGAACCTTGGGAACTGGGGTCAGAGCCTAGCTATATAGCTCTAGGCACAGAGCCTAGCAGCTGCTGTGACAGCGCTCAGGCTTCCATTATCAGGACCCTGGGCTCTCAACCCTCACCAGCTCTCTGGGAGTCCTCCACGGATCAGGGCTGGCGGCCTCTGACTCGGCTCTTCACAGTTTCTTACCTTCAGGCTCTCCTCGCGGTGGTGTCCTGCCTTGGGGTGCTCTCTGGAGCTCTCCAGCTGCTTTCTCACTTCCATCAGTGCCACTGCTGGGGTGTTGTGTCATCCCCTCTCCATGTGACAAGTTCAGCCCACTCTATGGACAGTAAAGGCTGTATGTGAAAGGCCACTCGGGAGAGATTTGCTGGGGCCTAACATGATATACAGGGATGATGGTACATAGAAAAGCAGCCTTCAGAACTGACCCCATGAGCCTAACAAGCAGGCCGCTCACAGAGCCAGAGAGGGGGCGTGGCATGTTTAGGAGCAGCGTCCAGTTCCACCAGTCACAGCTTTGCCTGTTTACCAGTCGTGAGCCTGGTTTGTGTGTGTGTCAATTAGGAGCTTTTCCGCTGAGTCACCAGGGAAAATGTTCTCCCTTGTCCTAAGCAGGCATAGCTACAAGATAGGCAGAGTCACCAAGATGTCACTGAGGCTTGTCGTGTTGAAAGTGAAGTCTCCAAGAGCTGGTGCGAGCTATCTAGGACAGACCTAACTAAAATGAGATCTCTTGAGCAGCTGTCCTCACAACATCCTCAATCCTGCAGGTGAATCTCCTCACTTTCCATGCAATACTCAAAGCAACCAGGCCACCGTGATAGCGCTCCCGCTGTAGTCCCCTCAAAGGGACTGCTTGATTGACATTTGCCAGTCAAAGCAGTCCGATACACCGGGAGAGTCTGACAGTTGTCTGTCAAATGGTAAGTAGTTCAGTCGTGACAGCTTTGATCATTTAAAAAGGAAAAACATCAAAGAGCATTTACATTAAAGCCCTATCATGAACCAGTACTCACCTCACAGTGTTTAACAGTATTCAACACCTAGTAAAAGTGGCCTTAAAGGGATTTGAGTCCCTCGTGTCTGTCTCACAATGACTGGTTAGGGAAAGTGAGTTTCCATAATCTCAAGGGGATCCTTTCATAGCTGTCCCAAATAAAAACCAAACGTAAGTAAAGGACAGTGAGTGAGGCAATTTTAGCCTTTAGACAGGATTAGCAACTTAGTTCATCATATGTAGAAATACCAGTATCTATGTGTGCCAATCGCCTGCATGTGTATACACAGAGATTTTTGTTTTAACCAAAAAAGTGGAATCTTATTGCACATATTACTATGTATTAAAATTGTACCAAATAAGTGCTGGAGAGATGGCTCAGGGGTCAAGAGTGCTGACTCTTCTTCCAGAGGACCCGGGTTCAATTCCCAGCACCCACATGGCAGCTCAGACCTGTCTGTAACTCCAGTTTCAAGGGACCCCGACACCCATGGCAAAAACACAAATGCACATAAAAATAAAATAAAATAAATTTAAAAAAAGAGCAAAAGACCTAAAATTGTACCAAATAATATATCACAAATACCCTTTTATATCACTGATGATAATCATAGCTAATAAAATACTAATTCTTCTTGGTACAAGATTAAGTACTGGAGTCATATAATCCTCTCAACAGTGTTATGATGCAGTGGGG